CTGTAGTTTCCACATTCGGTTGGGTCGCCTTTCTTTGGGATAGGAACAAATATCGATCTCTTCCAGTCAGTTGGCCAAGTGGTCGTTCTCCAGATTTGACTGTACACACACAAAATAAAATAAAATTAAAATAAAAAGACAATTCCTAGTCACTTCAGCCAGAGCTCCAATTGCATGGTCTGCTGGGTCCTCCAAGCCCTGGAGGGGCTCAGAATGGTGGAGAAGCACCAGGATAGGGAGCACAAACTGATACCTCGAGGACAGAGGAATCTGGACAGATCACCATATAGGTGACAGCTGCCCACAAGAAACATTAGAACAAATGATGGTGGGTTAGTGAAGTGCCTCATTCATTTAAAAATAAATAAATAAATACGATTCAAACGATTTCTTATTCTAGGCACATTAAAAAGACATCTATGTAAAAGTAACCCACCCAAATGTGTACAAAATTTCCAGCATAAAAGTAATCCTGAACGGAAGGTAAAATATGTTTTTATATGTGAACACACTAAACACTTTCATCGATCCAGAAAAAGAAAATACCACCCAATTAGCAGTTTCTCTAAATGCCAGAAGTTCATTGTTCACCTAACACTGTAGGGGAAGTTTGCTAACTTAGGTGGTCAGGCAAAGGGCCTCCTGAGAAGTCTGTCCTAATCCATCCTAAAGTCAGAAGTGACTTTATAGTCCTTGACTTAATAATTTAAAAAAAAGAAGGCAGTGGTGGGAGAAATGGCCTTCTGATGGACAGTTGGAAAATAACAGTTGTTGGGAAATTGAGTATAAATAGAAATGAAAATCGGGACAAGGATGCTTCCATGGAAAGTGTCACCTTCCAGATCTACTTGCCATCGGCAAAATTTCATTCCTGAATGGGGTAGGTAGCTGCTAGGGTTCTTGACAGTGAACCTAAAGGGAAACCACACCACAACCTATGCTTTGTGATTAAAATGCCTTGTTTTCATTTTTTTTTCCACTCAGTACAGCAAGTAATGGCCCTCTAGTGTTATGTAAATCAGCCCTCATTCAAAACAATTGACCAACCACCAACCAGTCACCAAAGAGTTCCTGGGGGAGGGAAGAGGGGGAAGGGAGGAAAACTTGCAACAATGAATGAATGGAAATCCAAGTTCTCTATAAACTTGTTAAAATCTCAAAATTAAAAAATGAAAAACTTCTTCATCATAGAGTCAGTCACCTTCACTGGCTACAGGTCCATCTTTTTTTTTTTGTCCATCTTTTAAATCATGAGAAAGGCTACCAGCCTTTTCATCTCCATATTCTGCTTTTCCAACCTCCCTTTTCTTTTTGGAACATACTTAATTTTTACTGTATTTTATGCTTCATTTTCTCTCCACACCAATGCTTGTCCAGCAGAGCTCCTTGTAGTGAAGGAAATATCCCCTGCACTGTCTACTGTAACAGCTCCTGGAAGGTGTCATGGTTGAGTATTGACTTGTGGTTTTTGCCACTCAGGGACTGGACTTTTCTGTTTACTTAACACAGAGCTACTACTCTGTTGGATAGTGCCGTCTAGACTCTGCTGCCGCCCTTCCATCTGAACTCTACTTGCCTGTTTCAAATGGTAATAAAAAGTCCAGGAAGAAATCGTTATGACTGCTTGCCAAAGCATTTGTAATACAGCTCAGTGACTTCTTTACTTCCAGGTAGTTGATCTGCTGAGGTATTTCTCCTGGGCTGAGCCCCAGTTGAAGGCAATGAAAGCATTACAACATGTAAGTAACTTTTCCCGAGCAATTACTTTAAAGTCTCTTTGTTTTCTGTAATTCATCTCAAGTTGCATAATTCACTCGCTCCGGAAAGGCTAACTCAAAAGTTTTATGATCGTTTGATTATTTGCAATTTGTTGTTTCTGTTAGATGCCATTAAACTTAATAGCAAGCCTGTATGAAACAGGATGAAACTGCCTAGTTCCACACCGTCGCCACAGTTCGTGCTATGTTGAGCCCACTGTTCGCCAGTGTGCGGATCATCTTGTTGGGAGCCCTCCTCTTTTATCGCTGACCTTCTGGTTTACTAAGCGTGATGTTATTCTCCAGGAATTTGTCCTCCTGATAACATGTCTGAAGAACATGAAATACCGGTCTCACTATTCTTGTTTCTGGTTGTACATCTTTTAAGACAGACTGTTCATTCTCTAGAACCCATTGTATAATCACTAGTCCTCAGTAGTACCATCATTCAGAGGCATCACTTCTTACCCCATTTCCCGAAGTCCTTGTCCAGCTTTCACATGCAGAGAAACCGTTGAAAAGTGACTTAAGCCAGATCCACCCAAAGCTGTATCTTTGCTTTTTAGCACTTCGAAAGGGGTCTTAAAAAAAAAATAGAAACTTGCTAAGTAGTTACATACTGTACTATTAAATTGCACATTGTTAAGTGCAGAGTCATAGGCAACTCATAGCGGCCCTATGAACAAAAAGACCTGAACACTTATATAACATCCATCATTTCTCCAAGTTCATAGGGTTTCCAGAGGCAAGCTATTTTGGAAGTGGATGCCACTCCTGCTTTCAAGCGTGTTTTACTCCTGCTTTCAAGCGTGTTTTACTCCTGCTTTCAAGCGTGTTTTAATCGGGAAGCTCCACCAAACACTGTCCGTGGGTGACCATTATCGCATTTGACACATCAGTGTCACAGTGTTCATTTAGCTTCACAGCAACCACGAGTTAGCTCTGTATGGCAAGCGGACAGACCAGGGCTATATGATCTAGAATGTTTGACCAAAACCAATTAAAACCAGGCCTGAGAGCCGCAGATTAAAGTCACCCCTTTTGGCTTGGTAGCATCACTTTCTGTCCACAAGGCTAACTAAGCTCGTCGTTGTTGTTGTTGTTAAGTACCATGAGTTAACTCATAGTGATCCTATGAGCACTAATATGTACTAATTGTGATACTGAAGGAAAATATATTCATAGACAAACCAACCATAGGATTTAAATGTTTTTAGGACTTAAATTATTAAGTGTTTTTATGCACTTCCTTCCATTTTGAGATCTCTTGCTCTCCTTTTTGGGTTTAGTCTTAGAAGAATAGTGACTGGGCTCTGCATTTAATTCTTTAGTCCAGTACTCTCCATATGAAGTTCCTTAATGATTGAACTGTTTCATTCTGCACTATATAGTTTCATAGCTACGGGCCATGTGTGACTGTTGAGCACTAGAAATGAGATGGAGGAACTGCTTGAAGTTTTATATGATCTTATTTTATTGTAATAGCAACAGAGACACATGTGCCTTATGGCTACTATATTGGACTGGCTGCTCCAGAACCTAGACAGCAGTAATATCAAGACCAAGTAGGAATGTGTAGATATATGTGAAGATTTTCCAAGTGTTCCGGGCATGGCAGTTATAATAGAATCAATTTATAATCCTTAACTTCCAAAAGTGAGCAGCTTGATACTGGGTCTCTGTTAGTGCTTCTTTCCTGTTTTCACTTCAACAATTGATCCCCTTACTTTCTATGTACTTTATAAAGACAGACTAACTTCACTTTTTCCAAGGGAATGACCATTCCCCAGTAAAAAAAAAGAAAAGCAGAAACCTGTTAGGAGTCAAGGTTTGGGGGTGGGATGTTTGGATGTTCTTCACTGTTGACATAATTTATAAATTGGCCAGATCTTCAGGATACTCTTCAGAGCTCAGTGCCCTAGTCAGATAAACTATGTAACATTTCACACAATTTTAGAATCACAGTGCAAATTAACCTACAACTCTCAGGAAAGTTCTGGATCAAGGAAACCTGTTTAACCCAGCATTTCCTAATTCATGTGGTGGAATTGCCCTTTTTTATGCCTGTAGTATTATTAAGCTCTTTTAGTCACTTTGAGAAAATGCTGCTCCAAGGTGTGCTTGGCTCCCTGAGAAATGTAATTTTTACCTAACTCCTTGAGCAGTCCTATATTTGTATGTGTGTCAACATCAGCATTTACTATAATGTTTCTTGAGCAAAGTAGTACATTCTTTGTTGTTGTTATTCTGTGTGCACATTGAAAAATGTGAATCGAGTTCCTAGAAGTTCCCATCTCAGTCTGTGATAGTTAGAATTGAAAGAGTTTGAGCCTAATTCATACATTTTTAGAACTTCCTTTTGAGTTGCAAGGGCTTACTATAGTTAGTTCTCACATAAAAATTAAGGTCATGTAACTAACTATGCTTTCCAAAAACAAACTTAACTTGGCATTAAGATTTCTTATGCTGAAAAATAAACCTCTTTTTCTATTCATAGAAAATGGTGGCTGTTCATCCAGCAGAAGTGGTCAATATTCTCAACTGCTTCACCTTCAGTAAAGACAAACTTGTTGCTCTTGAGCTGTTGGCTTCGTAAGTATCTTATTTCACTGAAGGAAAATTTGAAGACTTAAAATGCCTTTTCACACTACGCTATTAATTTATATGTTGTGGTTACACATACGTATGATGATATATAATGTGATATATAATGGATACAAACATAACATGTGACATGAAATATTTTCTATGACCGCATTGTTTTGAACAGAGTCGAAGTAATAGGATGTATCAAAATTGCTCATTTTCTTGCATTTTGTTCTTTTGTTTTACCTTCATACTCTTAAGTAACAGGAAAGCCATGTGCTGGTGAGACATAGTTACACTCAGATTCTGCCACTTACTGGTACCATTTTGTTTTGGGATTGGTTTGGGTTTTTTTCCCTGCTAACATATTCACTCTTTCTGAACTTTATTTTCCTTACTTTGCTGGTGGTTCTAATGGATCAGTAACTCCGCAGGAGAATGAGAACAGTCTCCTCCTGTGGGATTTACAGCTTCAGAAACCCAGTGGGGAGTCAGCTAGGAGTCAGTTCTGACTTGGGCAATGAGTATTTGAGTTTTTCATTATTAGTATTTGTGCACTTTGAGTCCTGTGAATGTGTGAAAAGCACTAGGCATCTAGCAGGACATTTGGTAAATGATCACAGTGATGCCAGAACAAAGAGAAAATGGAGCCTATTTAATTGCATAATTGAAAAGTCTTTAAGTTGCTATTTATTTATAGCATACTGCTTTTTAAATCGTGTGTGTGTGTGTGTGTGTGTTTCCTTTCTGCCACTGACTTGCTCCTGACTCAGAGTGACCCTCCCTTGGGGTTCTGAGGCTGTAAATCTTAGCAGGAGAAGACTGTCTCTTCTTTTTCCTACAGACCAGTTGGGGAGGTCACACTGCTGACCTTTTGGTAGTAGTCCAGTGCTTAGCCTACTTTGCCTCCAGGCCTCCTTTACGTAGACGAATATACACACTTAGATGCTGATGGAGACACAACATGAAAATAAAGCACAAGGTGAAGCTTCATCTTTCGACCAGCCATGTTTTTATGCATTTGAGACAGAGGTTTATTCTGCTGCTTCCTTTCTTCCACTCATTATAAGAGTGTATTTTCAAGAATCTTAACAGTAGTGATTTTCATTTACATTTTTATTTACTATTTTCAGGTAATTAGTTTGATAAACTTCAAATATATTTACTATCTTTATTAAGCATGTTGTTTAAATCAGCTTATTAAAAGTAAAAACTTGAAATTGTAAAAAAAAACCAAAAAAACTAACCCATATATTTTTATAATTGAAAAACAAAAAGTGTACATTACCTATAAAGAAGAAAGAAAATTAAATCATCAGCCTTTTCTCCCAGTGTAATAAAGGAACACTCACTCACACGTCTGTGCTGACTTTGTGTGTAAACCCAGGTTTTTAAATGAAAAGCTCTGTTGTGTTTCTTTGGTAGAAACATTGTGGATGCACAGAATTCTCGTCCCATTGAAGATTTATTCCGGATAAACATGTCTGAGAAGAAGCGGTGTAAGAGAGTTCTTGAGCAGGTAGTGTTCTCGACAGTGCTGCACCAGTGGCACCTGGGATGGGTGAGGAAAAGATAAGCCTACCTGCTGTTCCTTCGTGAGTTACGAGTGAATGGAGCAGACAGAAGGTGGGCAGAGGGGAAGGAGGTGGCCTGTGAGTGATAAGCTGTTGGCCACTCATCTTGAATTTTGTGCAGTTCTGTGCCTTAGGTAGCTTTGCAGTGGCTTCCAGCTTCTGTGTCTTAGGCATTTAAAACCTTCAGTGTTTAAATTTGTCTTCACACTTAATTTATCCTAATCAGATTCCTAAGAAATGAATAGCAAAAGAAATTTTAGGGGGTTTGTTAGTGAAATTTACAAAGGCAAGAAGTATAGCTTTTGTAAGCCTAGGCATTATTATTATTTGATCACACTTGAGGTAGTTATTCCTTAGGATTATTTGGGCTGGAAACCCGAAGGTTTTGTGGAACACACCTTAGTTAGTATATGTTAGTATAATTTTGATAAAGTTAAACTTAAGTATCTTAAAGATAAACTTAAGTATCTTAAAATATTTATGCTTTTTAACCCACAAATTCTACCTCTAGCAATTTACTCCAGGGAAATAAGTAGAATCTGTTTATTCACATAATATTCATTAGGCAGATGACACACCTTGCTTGCTGAGAGTGAGGAGGATTTGAAGCACTTGTTGAAGAATATCAGAGACTACGGTCTGTAATACAGTTTATATCTCAACATCAAGAGAACCAAGATACCTACCACTGGGCCATTCAGCAGCATCATAATGGAAAAAGACTGAAGTTATCGATGATTCCATCTTGCTTAGACCCACAGTCAGCACCTTTGGTGTCAGCAGTCAAGAATTCAAAATATCTATTGCACTAGGAGAATCTGCAATCAGACTTGAGATCTCTCCACAGTACTGAAGAGCAGTGTTGTCAGCTTAAAGAAGAGACTTCTTCAAGCCAGGTTCTTCTCAATCACCTGCTGTGCATCTTCTGAGAGATGGACAAATAAATGAATAAAGATGACAGAAGAATTGATGCCTTTGAGCTGTGGTGTTGGAGAAGAGTATTCCATGGACTGCCAGAAACAGACTAATGATTGGCACGGCTGTGAAGAGACATCCATGTTCAGAACTGTGGCACTGGCCTTCGTCTTTGTGTGCTGTCATTCCTAAAGCCCTGCTTTAATGATAAATGAACATGTTCTCACTTTGAAATGACTGAACCCCCTATTTACAACAAATTCTCCACCTTCACCTGCTGCACATTTACTTTTCAAGTCATCAAAGCTGTTTCTTGCACTAAGAACTGTCTGCATCTTTTCCAGCTGACCTACAAATTCTTAGACACAATTAGCAATGGATCTTACTCGTGTCCCAGAGATTGCTTACATAGCTAACATAAGCGTATGTATTGAAAATTTATTTATAAAGCTTGTGTAACAAACTCTGTAGCAAAACATGTAACTATATTTGCATGGCTTACTATTCCTGTAATATAATGGCATAGACATAGTGGTGTTTTATTCATGTAACAAATACTTAGCACCAATGCAACATGTGTTTGGTATTTGCTTTAGAGACTGAGGTGTAATAATAACCAGGCTAGGCAAAAAACTCTTTCCTGAGTATATAAGGAAGCTACATTGTGTCTGACACCATGTTTACCAACTAACTTTCTTTTTTCAACACCACAACTCTTTAAATACCCAGTGTTCTTGGAAAGACTTTTTATAAAGAAAGATATTTGGATGGCTAACAGACACATGAAGAAATGCTCAAAATCACTGGCAATAAGAGAGGCAAATCAAAACCAGAATGAGATACCATCTTACTCCAGTAGCAGTAGCAAAGTTTAACAAGAGAGCAGTAAATGTGGAGAGGATGTAGAGAGATGTTGTTATTGTTGTTGTTATGTGCCGTCGAGTCGCCTGCGACTCATAGCGACCCTATGTACAACAGCCCTAAACTCCGCTCTG